CATCTATTCAAAAGAGGTCATGTTTGAAATGTCATGTACAGTGGTGGATAGTGATGGACAATATTTTCTTCCCCAGAGAGGGTGTTAGTTAGGTTAGTTAGTTAGCTAGCTAGTTGGTTAATTTATTTGTCCCTGTAGGGTAATTTCATTTGCAGTATACACTCACAGAGACAACTGACATTTCAAATTTGCCATTTATATAAATAAATCATGAAAAACATGGTACCCCTACTCTAAATAAATATCTAGACTACTGGCCATCAACTGCTACTGAGGGAGGAGGAATTTAAAAACTTAACTGCTTACGGTATAAATTAAGATTTTGTCCTATTTTTCACTTATCTGGCAACACAATAGTGATGACCTGATAATAACACTTGGAAGGTGTATGGAAAAGGATGTCACTCATCTTTGACAATCATGATAGCCTTATTTAGTACTCTTTCTTTGTATGTACTATCTATCAATGCTCTTTAGTTTTATTCCCAACAACTTATTGGCTGTAGTTGCCACCTTCCCCAGCAGTGACCTTTTCTGGGCCTCAGAAGCATGTCCATACAAACAGATCACACAAAGTGTTGCAGTACTTGAATAAAAGTACTATAAAACATGATAAACAATGTGTTGTCAACATTAAAAGATAATTGTTTCTTAAGGAAGTAATTTCTCTGTTGAAGCTTTTTCTTTTACAGTCAGTCAATACATCCCTTAAGTTTATTGTCTAACACACTCAGATATTTATAATTTATTACTAACTGAATTTGCTCCTCATTAATTAATGTGGGATGAGTTTTGCGTTGTGCTCTCTCTCTAAAATCAATAACCATCTCCTTAGTTTTAGGAATATTTAGGAGAAGGTTTGAATTTTTACACCAGTTTTAAAAGAAGTCCCTCTTCCTTCTGTATAGAATATGAATATCCTCCTCCTATACAAAAGATAGATATCAATTTGTAGGTCCTGTAAGAAATATGTTTTTCAGATTGTAGATTAATGCTATACTTCAGCAATGTGTTTGTGAATGAATCAAAGCTTTAGAAAAGCTGCCTGAAAGCCCACAGTAGCGGATTAGAGCGGAAATCTTTTGCAGATCCGCATTCCAGACATTTACTTTTTCAATATTTCAGAAAGTGACCGGCCTTTCATCCTTTACAACCTTCCTGTTGACCAGTCCTTAAAACGCGACCTTTCTGCTTTCATCAAATAAATGTACAATCTTTTCTTTTCCTGTCAGCTGATTTCACATGATTCAGATTTCGAAATATCCCCTAATGCTTTGATTTCATAGACAGAATGAAAATGATCATATTTGGAACCAGTTCTAATGAGTTCAAACAGGAATGATCAAAGAATGGTCAGAAAAGACGGAAAATTCTTTAATAAACTGTATTATAGTTATATAAATTATACATGCATATAATTAAGTTGATCAAATAATATTTTCTTTTCTGAATGTTCTTATATATAAAGGGTGTGTGCAGTGTGCGAATTATACATTGACGATTGGGGGTGTCAACTTTTTTCGGTAGTAGTTTGGTAATACATGCTTCAGTGAATCAAATTCAGGAATGCATTTACATTACATCTAATTTATTAATAAAATGTATTCGTTTTTAGTGTTTTGAGGGATATTCACAATCTCACCTCACGATATACACAATCTCATGGCAATTCATAACTTTTTGATTTAGTGGCTAATTTGTATGAATTTGTATGATCTAATTTGTACAATTTAGTACAATTTGCTCATCCTCCAATGACGGCTAGGTTTAGGGGTGGAGTTGGGTGCCACACCTCCTTTTTAAAATCGTACAGTTTCGTACAACTGATCTCATACGAATTCGTACAAATTAAAAATGTTTAGTGACTATTTTAGAGGTTACTGTCAGTTAAACTATACAATTTTTGTGTCTAATGTTTATTTTTTTAAGGCTACATGCAGATATAAAAACCTATTTGTCAAGAACCGTGTTTTGTGAATACTTGAGATGTCTATCAGTGCTCTAGAACTGCCAGTTTTAGACTGTTGAGTGATAATTTTGACCATACATGCATTCACAATGGAATAAAGTGTTATATGTGCATCAAATGTATAATGTATTATACATTTTTAATGATTAATATTTAAGATATAGATCAGAGGTCAGAGAAAGCTATTTCTTACTAAAGGGCTGACCCCCATACATCTTGTTGTGATGTCCTTCGATGTCCTTGTTTTGATGTCAAGTATTTGACATCCTCATTAACCACCAAAAGCAACGTGTGTGTGTGTGTGTGTGTGTGTAAATGACAGATTTTTACTTACATAAATAAAAAAATATAGGCTGCTTATTGAATAATATGATTAGAGATATTCATGGTCATTTGTGATAAAAACATGAACTATTAAAGAGCATCTGAGACAAAACTCTATTTTATGCAGAATAATTACATATCAAATTAGCAAAATAAATGTCAAAATTGCTTTAAATGTGCTTTAAAAAAGGTTTAACACTAACACTTTAAAATAAGATTGAATATCTTAAGTCTATTATTAACAGATAAAACATTTAACAATAGGAGGAATCTTAAACTCTTAAAAATATTTTTCCATTGTTCATTTATTAACTAATGTCAACAAATGGACCATTAAAGTGCTAGTGTAGATGGACTAATAAATTTTAACTGTAATTGATAATACAACTCTGTAAATAAATGACTCAGTACAATGTCCATCTGATTTAAAAAGACCACCCACATGCCTTAAAGGGATAGTTCCTGCAAAAAGGAAAATTTATGCACTATTTACTCTTACACATGTGGTTCCAATCCTTTTTTAGTTTCTTTCTTCCGTTAAACATAAAATGTAGGCGTTTTGATGAAAACTGAAAATCGTTAACACTATATAAATATTATATGACAAAAAGTCTCGACAAGAAATGTTATTATGTTACTTTAACTTATTTTCAGAGTGTGGGGGAAGATATCAAAACATGTATTGTGTGTGTGTGTGGGGGGGGGGGGGGGTCTGCCCTTTAATAGTTAATATATATATTGTTCTGATCTGTATCTTAAATAAAAATAATAATTAAAATAGATAACTTCAATATACATTTGACCCCCCCCTATAATGGTTCATACCATTGGGAATGGATGTTCTCCGGAAACATGAATTCATTGGTGTAAAACCAGCAAATCTAAAGCACCAAATCAAATCAAATCACTTTTATTGTCACATCATCAGCAGCACGTGTGCTATGATGAGTGAAAAGCTTAGAAAAGCACCGGCAGTGTAAGTGTAAGTGTAAGTGTAAGTGTAAGACAGTGTAAGTGTTCAAAAACTTGCTTCTTTAAAAAGGGCTTTGTAGGTGTCTGTAAAACTCAATGCATAGTTTGTATTTTATTATACACTGGCTCGCACATGGAAGTTCTACAGTAAAATAAAAAATACATGCAGTCATTATGGTCATCTATTAATAGGTGCAGGAAAGCAAATCTGTCACTGTTTATTTAATATCACAAATGTCATTGAGAGCCATTCAATATCCCTCAAAACACTGAAAAGTTAATGTGATGTAATGTGCAAGCTAGACATATAGACTGATGAAAGAGCCAGCTTTATATCACATTGCCCCGAACTATTACTGTCGTTTTTATAAAGGGGCAAAGTGTACATTGTTAAAATAGGTTGGCTTTCTATCTGGTTCAGTTAGAGTTAGGCCATAAAGAGATGTATTTACTTGATACTGTAAGTAAGAAGGTCAATGTGTATTTATATAGCGCATTTATTGTGTATACACACCCAAAGTGCTTCAATCATAAGGGGGGTCTCCACGCTACCACCAGTATGCAGCATTCAGTTGGATGATGCGACGGCAGCCAAAGGACAACTGCACCAGTGCACTCACCACACACCAGCTATTAGTGGAGTGGCGTGACAGTGATAGAGCCAATTCAGTACATTAAGATAATTGGGAGGCCATGATGGTAAGGGCCGCAAGGGAATTTGGCCAGAACACCAGGGTTACACCACTACTCTTTATGAATTATGGGATTTTTAATGACCACAGAGAGTCAGGACCTCGGTTTATCGTCTCATCTAAAAGATGGCGCCCACTGACAGTATGGTGTCCCATTCACTTTTACTGGGGCATTAGGACTCACACAGACTGCAGCTTGAGCGTCCCCTGCTGGCCTCACTAACACCACTTTCCAACAGCAATCCAGTTTTCCCATGTGGTCTCCCATCCAGGTACTGACAAGGCTCAGCTCTGCTTTCCTTCATTCTTGAGCTGCAGGGTGATCTGGCTGTGTGGCTGTAACAAGTTTGATTTAATAAATTAGATGCAATTGAATTAAATATATAAATTTGGTTCACTGAGGCATATTACTGAACATAATCGAAAAGACTTGACCCCCTGATCACAAATGTATAATTTGCATTCATGCTTATTTTAAGTTAAACAGGTTTCAAGTGCATTTTTGCAAAGTTATGCAAAGTTTAACTCAAAATGTTTAGTCTGTTTGACGGATGTATGTCGAGTTGACAAGAAGTTTGTTTGGTTCAAAAAAAAAAAAAAAAAGGCAGCAACTATTTATACAGGGAAATAATTACTTTTTAGCTTTAGGTGAACTATGCAGTGTGAATAAACTCAGCTTAAATACAATGCCTTTTATTTCTCAAAATAGATTACTTTTCGAAAACCTTTAAAGTTTTTGAAGCTCAAAACCAACAGCATTTGAAGGAATACTTTTGAAGAAATAAGTTTAATTACTTATAACTTCTATTTAATCTGTCAATGTCAGATTGGGAGATAGAAAAAAGCTGTTCTTTTAGACAGCTGCGAAAGTGAGAGTGCTGAAAAGCTAGAGCACAACCTAAGATGTGACGTTGAATGACTCAGGCCAGGAATGCTCCATTAACCGGAGGAGGTGGGAAAAAAATGCAGGAAAGGGGGGGGTGGCCTGCGCTATTCAAAGCTCCTGTCACTCACAGGCGCTCCAGATTCCAGCTCAGGTGTTCAGAGCCGCGCGCGCGCTCACAGCAAAAACACGCGCACTGCTCACTTCTACACGAGCGGACAGCTGTCAACGGGGACACGCTGACGATTATTTGAGATTACATACACACAAACACCAATGGCGCTGTCGTGCGAGATTTCTGAGCTTTTTCAGGTGAATAGTTTCTGTTTGTCATGGGGGCAGATCGCCTCAGCTCAGCGTTTGCGCACCTGGCCAACCCACGCCAATGAAGTCGTGCTCCTACATGCAGTCTGAAGGGCTCCGGAGCGGAGTCGGGTTCCCGTGTTTATTGTGGATTAAACCACTTATGCTGCTTGATACGCGTAATTTGTGGATTTGTGTGTGTTTTTCTTCTCCTGGATTGATGAGCACTATGGAGCTGACGGGGAGATGTGTGTTGTTGGCGGCGCTGGTGATGAGCGTTCCTCACCACGCGTGTTCAGGTCAGTGTTTTTACTGTTTTTTTCTATTGAGGTAAAGCTGTTTTTTGTTCAATTTTATAAGTATTATTTGCAAATTCCAAATAGGAAAATCCTATCAGGAGTTAATGACTATGAAAGTTGGCTACAACATTGTTCAAAGTTAATTAAATAGTGCTAATGTTTAATTTGAAGTCATACATGTAAGTCAGACCGAAACTAACGTGGTAAACAATACCTTCCATAGAGATATTCACAATCTTTTTAAGTTACAAATATAATTCGTTGTACTCATAACAGTACGTCATTATATTTAATATGTATTAGCCTATTTAAATTCTGCTTTACTATTTTATTAACCGCGAAAATCCGAATGAGAGAATAATATAAAACCAACTTTATCTCAATGTTTACTCTACTGTTCACCTGCACGTGCGATCAAAACACGCTGGCTGCTGTTCAGCTAAACAGAGACGCGTGCTGCGAGATGAACTGAGTGACTGAAACTGATTGAGAGAGATGTGGTTGATTTTTGAATATGCAAAAGCAAACTTTGCATGTGATGTTGATGGATCCTTACAATTTGCGTACACTGCATTTGTGAATTATTGATGCACGTTGAAAGTGTGTTATAATGTTAAAAAAAAACATTAAATGCGATGACCACTTGAAGATGATCAGAATTTACTAATTATTTAATAAGTAAAATTAGTGCTATTCTGTATGTCTTGTTTTTCATTGTAATCCACCCCCCCCCCCACCCCCCAGAAAATGACATTTGGTCAAAATAACAAATGTTTTGTTGTTCTATTAAACAGTGATTTCTTAACTCCTCTAAATTCGAAGTCTAAAAATGATAGAAAATGTTTATTGCACATTTTTAATTATATGCAAAAAAAGAGCTCTAAATTGGGAAGAAATGTCATCTGTAGTTTATGGTATAAAAAAAAACAAGTGACGATATTCAAATAACAATAAATACATTTAAAAAAATTTAAGTTGTCTAAATTAACAATACGCACCTTTTGTCCCATTCAAATACCTATTCAAAATTTGTGCATCTTTGAAATTCTAATAAATTTTGTTTTCCTCCACCTACTCACAATTTTGCTTCATTAATTGAATACATGTATTTTAAGATGTCTAACACTGTATACAGCATTGAAAGTTGGTAATGAAAGCTCAAACAAATTTGGTTGGTGTGTGAGAACCATGTTTGTGTATCATGTGGCGTGTTTGATCTTTCACAAGAACCACAAGATTTCTTCTATTATATATATATATATATATATATATATATATATATATATATATATATATATATATATATATTGGTGATTGTGAATTGAAGCCAAATTAAAATCTGTTACTCTCCTGTATTCTTAAGACAAATAAAAGTCTTATAGGTTTGAAATAACGCTCCTTATAGGAAGAAATGACACTCCGAACCTTACATATGATTATTAACTCCATTATTTGATTAAACTATGAAAAGAGTAATCAGCTTTTTGGTGCAATTATAGCTTCATTAGTTGTCTGTTAAAATATTGATCCTTTAAATTGGACCTATTTTGTCCCCTTTTTACAACATTATAAAACAAGTCTCTGAGGTCACTAGGGTGTGTATGTAAAGTTTCAGCTTAAAATGCTGCTCAAATATTTGTTGATAACTTTTTGAAACTGCCCCTTTTAATCTTTGATCTAAATTCCACTGTTTAGGTGACTGTCACTTTAAATTCTAATTGTTCTCTTTTTCAAAAGAGGGTGGAGCTATAAATGCCTATTCTTTAGCATAGTGTAGGATTCTAAACTAATGGCGGATGGCTGCTTCTCACTCAGGACTGTCTATGATAATGAGGGAGAGATTGTCACTAATGGGTGGGGCTTTCCCCCTCTGTTAATATTTATAAAGGGAGAATGTCAATCAAAGTTTTTTGACAGACTCTCACTATCAAGTGTGATTATAAAAAATAGAATGAATTAATATTTACTATTAGAAGCTTGCTAAATTCACATATATTGGCCACACAGCTGTTAAATTTTTGCATAATAGGCCCCCTTTCAGTTTGTGTAATACAGTGTGCATTTGTATCTATTATAGGATGTGTGAACCGAGTGTGTAATCCACGCATGGGAAATCTGGCAGTCGGACGTCCCATACAGACAATCTCTCAGTGCGGCTCCACCTCCCCAGAACAATTTTGTATGTACAGACCGGACAGTTGTGTGCTGGATTGTGAGATATGTGATGCTTTAGTATCTCAGCATGCACACTCCCCTTCCTCCATGACTGACTCTCCTTTCAAGCAACCACTGACCTGGTGGCAGTCGGCACCGGGGACTGCCATAGAGACTCTGCAGCTGGATCTGGAGGTGGAGTTTTACTTCACCCACCTCATTATCATTTTCATGTCGCCACGCCCTGCTGTCATGGCAATCGATCGCTCTCGGGACTTTGGCCAGACATGGAGCTTGCTGATGCTGTTTTCCCACAACTGCAGTGAAGTGTCCAGCTTGGAGGACGGACAACGCTGCACAGCGAAATACTCCTCTGCCGAGCCATGCACAAATGGGGAGGTGAGGCTGTGATGATAAAATGTGTACGTCAGATGCAAAATATTGTCAATTTTTCCATGAGGAGCATTCAAGTGAAAATTGCTGCCATTATATCGTGGTGTCATTTTTCATAGATCACTGTCCTTGCTCTTAATATAATGTCTGCAAGTTAAAGGTGCAATATGTAAGTTTGACACCCAGTGGTTGAACTAGGTATTGCACAGCTGGTTTTAAACAAATGCAAGAGCAGGTTGCCAAATTGACGACAACAACAGGAGTGTGCCTGACTGCCCCGCCTATTGGCTGATTAAAACTGTGTTCTAAATAAAAGCAACGGCATGCAATAGAAGTAATATTTTCCATATTAAAACACCCCTTGTCCTAAACAACACCTGAAATGTATATAATATAAACGGCTTCTATTTCTTGCAGCTGAACGTCAGACAACTGACTATGATCACCTCAGGTACACCTCATGTTCTTTATTCAGTGTTAAATGCGAATAATGTGAGTTTAAATGCCATTTCACATGACATTTATTGCCATACTGCTGAAAGCTCACTTCACATCTTAAAAACAAAATAAACCATTTGAAATTGAAGTTCAGTACAAGCCAACACATATCAGTGATTTAGCATCTACATTTAATAATGTTAAAGAGGTTTAATATGTATTGATTAGATTATAAACCTTAACATTTCGTTGGAGTGCAGTAAGTGCACAACTCTGCTTCTGAATGGCTGTATTTATATTTCTGTCGTGTTTTGTCTGCTGCAAACAGCCAGATTGCTTATCACTGCAAATCTTGTCACGTAGCATGTTTGGACACAGGGTTACAATTTAACCTGCTCCCCTAATGTTTACTCTCCTCATATTATTTATATTATTTACTAATTAATAACCAGCTCATGTGGAACTTTGAATCTGCGTCTCATTTCGGAATCTGCTACTGTCCACCAGAGGTCACATTTCAGTCGCAGACGAATATTTTGAGAGCCTTTCTGAGTGAATGAATAAAATATACTGTTTTCCACAAAGGCAAACCCGGGTCCTAAACTATAATTAGCTAAAGTGGCATTGGGTGGGTCAAAAGAACTGAAACGAGGACAGCAGATCCGGCACGTAACGCAAATTTTTAAAGCAGAATATCTGACTTCAGCACTGTTTTTCAGATAAACAAGAATGTTCACTTGGCATGTTTCTTAAATATCTGCAAATATATTTTTTATGTGTTAGAAGAGTTAAAAAAAACTTACCTTTAACTAAAATGGTAATTAAAATACCTGTATAAAAGTAGATAATGGATAGATGAAAACTATGTAGACATCAGGTCTGCACAATACTGGAAAAATATGCAATGTTGTTGTGTGTTGCAATAACAGTACTTCCTATGATTTAATTAGCAAAATGCTATTTTATCAGCAATTAAAAAAACATTTATGTAAAGATCATAGTAAAATAAGCAGCATATATATGTATATATATTTATACTTTTTGATCTAATTAAATAAAACAAAAAGGTAACACTTTACTTGTAGTGTTCATAAGAATTGTAGTCTTGAAACCTTTATAATTATGACATGAATATGAATGAGATTTTGTGCATGCTTATGACAACTCAAGTTAAGTGTCATTTGCTCATTTATGTCATTTAAAATGCTTAAATAACATTGTTTATTATGATAACTTGGCATAAACATATACATCACCACCTGTCTTCATCTTTGTCATGGCCACATGCCATTACCAATTCAACAAAACTTGTAAATCTGTCATAAACATGATTGTCATGAGGCCATTGTAATTGTGGAATGAATATTTTTCTGATCATGTTTTCAGTCGAATAAACCATATTTATTATTAAAATTTAACAGCGTCATTACTATTTCGGTCATTTGTATGATAAATTCTGCAGTTGACTTGTATCACTGCAGTTGAGGTCAAAAAAATATTAATGACGCTTATAAAATTCATGACATTTATAATGACTGAATGTTAATAACAGTTGTTATAAACATGCATACAATCTCAATCACGTTGATGACGTGTCATGTCTTAGTTATAATAGTTTATTATAAAGTAATATCAGTCATGGTTTAATATAAAATCTTATGAACATCCTTCAAGTAAAGTGTTACCTAAAAAAACTGTCATGGTGCAAACATTTAAAACACTATGATCTAAATAAAAGCAGAAAATTCAGATTGTTATTGGCTGTTGTCATTTTCCCCTTGTCTCGCGGTAACCGGAAACGCAAGGTCATGCGTCAAGTTTTGAAGGTCGCTGCAGTGTGAAGTTCAAGCTTGGTGAACTCTGACCTGCTAAATCACATCACTTGACTGCGTGACACCAATCTAGGAATAAAACATCACCTCTCTGGGCAGAAATTTAAAACATGGAGCAATCGCTCTCTTTTTTTAATGTCAAATAATCCTGTTAAATCCCGCCCCTTTTCGTAGCGCCGCACGACAGAATTTCGCATTATTAAACTCTAATGTGATCGCAGCTTTAGTGTTTATTTTCAGCTCTAGGTTAATCTGGTCAGATTTACAACCCATGCATGTTGCACACAAAAGCTTGTCACATACAATTGATTTAATTTATTGCACTTTTCTGCTATTATGGTCACGTTCGCTCTTTACAAATGCAAGAAACTCAGAGTCAGGAATATTCAAAAGAACATGTATTTTTAAACAAGACACTCACTGGAACATCAAAACGCAGGAATCAAATGCTGTAGACAATATAATACCGGACCAAGGACTGAGCAAAACAAAGGAGTACAAATACACAAGACATAATTATCTGAATACAAAACAAGGGTGAGACACAGGTGGAAATGCTTAACACTAACACACAGCGGGAAAACAGAACAAAGGAATAACAAGGCGAAAACACAACAGAGACGCAAGACTGTGACAATTATGGATATTGCATATACTAGTATATTGTGGAATACTAATAGATATATGTAAAAATGTACTTCATATAACAAAAAAACACTAGAAAATGATTCAAACTTTACATAAAATCAAACTTTAAGCTGATTCTTAAAATAAATGAAGTAGTATGAATCTTAATAAAATGAAATAGAAAACAATGAATGTGCTTTTCATTTATATTGTGTGTGTGAGCAGGTGATTTACCGTGCACTGTCACCTTATGAGAGGCTGGATCCATACAGCACTGATGCCCGCTCACTGCTGGGCGTCACTAATGTCAGGATTCGTCTGCTTCAGCCACACTCCTGCCCCTGTCCGATTGCTGATGCCAATGCAGCAACTCCCCGATATGCCATCTCTGACCTCATTTTAAAAGGAGGCTGCCTGTGCCATGGACATGCAGACCAGTGTGTGCCCACTGGAGGCAAACACAACTCAAAAACATTTGGAAAACACGTGGTAAGTGCGTTGTGTTTGGGGTTGTATATACTGGCAAACTGTAAGCTAACAGCGGGCCTTTTTATATATATATGTGTGTGTTTGTTTGTTTGCTTATTAATAACATCTAGAAGATTTTTTTTTAACAAATGTTTCATATTATCTTAATAATGTCTTAATGTTGCTGACTATTTTGTTGACGTCAAACTCTGATATCAAGGGTCATATATCTAGGTTACACAGAGTACAAACTGTCAGTCTATGCAGATGACCTGCTGTCATTTATAACAGATCCTTAAAATTCTCTCCCTCACATTATGACTGCTCTTGAGCGTTTTAGTTTTATTTCAGGATATAAACTCAGCCAGTTACTTCTCATAAATCAAATAGCCAAAAATACAATTTTCTCACTAACCTTTTGCAGTAGCCTCTGATAAATTTACATATTTAAAAATAGTCTAAACTCCACACTTCTTTGATTGGTAGGTTCACTGTAATTAAAGCAATTTTTACTTTTTAATATATATTTTTTAAACTATACCTATTTATATTAATAAATCGTGTTTTTCTTATTTAAATAAGATCATTTCATCTAATCTTTGGAATAAAAAGCCTCCCAGAATACGAAACCCTGTAGACGTCCTGAGATTAATTTTCCATTGTGTTTTTGGTTTTTTTAATTAGTTGTCAAGAAAACATTTCTAATTTTCATTTGACCTATATATTTTGTTATATCATCTTTGTTTGAACAAATAAATTTTTGTTTTGTTTAACAATATTTATAAAAAAAAAAAGTTGCACCCTACCGAAATATGTTTGACTTGATGTTCCTCAAAAAAAAAAAAGAAACCCATGGGATCTGAAACATAATGGATGTAAATAATGAGGGGTCTTCATTCATTCATTTATTCATTTTCCTTTGGCTTAGTCTCTACCACAGCGGAATGAACCGCCAACTATTCCTTTATATGTTTTACACAGCAGATGCCCTTCCAGCTGCAACCCAGTACTAAGAAACACACTCATTCACACACATACACTACGGTCAATTTAGCTTATTTAATTCATTTATACTGGGGTGCATTTTCCAAACAATGACATAACTCATGGCTGAACTACCATACTACGATGTATCCTTTGGGAAAAGAACGCTGTAGTGATGAGTTTTTCCCAAAACCTGTAGTCGCAGATCTGTTAGTTATAACTTAAAACGCCCATAATGAGGCTCTAAACAGGGTGGAGTAACAACTTCTTTAGAGGATAAAAAACCCATAATTTTTTGTGCAAATAAATATTTTTTTACACAATCATACATTTTTAAAATCCAATATTAGTTTAAGTATAAACATGCACTTGTTTTACAGATTAATTTAAGTATATATAGACTACACATATAGGACCTGTTTATGTTTCCTTTACAAATATTATTGAGAATATTATTGAGAATATTTCATATAAAATCAGTAAGCTAACACATATTCTAATCTCATAAATAAACCGTTAATGGTTGTAGGCCTAATTTACATTAAGCTTATTTTTTTAAGACATTTTTTAAAAATCCTATTTAATATAATTATTATTATTATTGTTATTATTATTATTATTATTATTATTATTATTATTATTATTATTATTTAAATACAATATTGTTTATTTTTTTATTTTATATTTTTTTAAAAGTCTACTTTTACATTTAAAACATTTAAACTACTGCAGAAATTTACTAACCAACAGGCCAGTGTCATATAAAGTACAGATACATTTCTTAATAAATAACCTACTATAAATTAAAACTGTTATTGAATGCTGTATATTGTTTCACAAGCTTTGAAGACGTAACATAAATTCCACTTTTAAATAATAGGTGACCTGTAGGTTTCGTCATGAGCCACGGCTGTGTTCAAAATGGCAAAAATGTTTTTAAAGTGCACCACGAAGGGAATGCATTTGTCAATATGAAGATCACTAAAACTGAACTGTAAAAAATACTTTGAAAGCAAATTACTCCTAAGAGTGATGACTTTAATGCTTTAAAAATAATAATAAGTAAATAAATGTTGCAACATTCTAAATGAATAGGATATAGGGGGGATAATGGGGAATAGAACACAACCAGGAACTATGCGTCTAACTACAGCTCTAGAGGTGTAGTTGTAAGCTTACACGTTTGCGAATGTTGGTTGGAACGACAGATTCAACAAACTATCTTTGTAACGACTAAACTTGCCACCTTAGTTAGCTAATGATGGTTTATGAAAACACACCCTCTGCATGTCTTTGGACTGTGGGGGAAACCGGAGCACTCGGAGAAAACCCACACGAACACTGAGAAAACATGCAAACTCACACAGATATGCCAACTGGCCCAGCCGTGACTCAAACCAGCGACCTTCTTGCTGTGAGGCGACAGTGTTAACCACTGAGCCACTGTGCTGCCCCAAATGAGGGATCTTGCAGGCCAATAACAGCAACAGCAACGTTACAATACTGCCCAACAATTTTGCATTATGTACAGTTACCCACATTCCCAGAAAGCATGTTTCCCGTATGATTACATAAACGGCCTCCAGTTTCTCTCATTCTCTTTGGCCCTCTCACTCTCACCGTCTTTGTTTCAGATTATATAAGCCATGCTTTTTGCTGTTCATTTGGCTCCATCTCTGTGGAGAGATAAAACTGAGATATCAACTGAAGGATAAAAAGACAAAGTGAAACAGGAAAACAGCAGAGGGAGGAATGGTGATAAGCACCAGATGAAAACGAGGGTCTGCGTTACTTGCCCCTTTTCCTAATTGAGTTGTTGTTTGCATGCTGTGATCAGACAATAACAGCAATTAGTCTAACTCACTCAAACACACACACACACATGTACACACATCAGCACGCCACTCTCTTATCAAAGGTCAGACCGTTTGATCTGGCAGGCCAGACAAAACACACATCCCGTGCCAATCGACATACACGCCACTCACTTCCCACCCAGACATGTTGACAGAAATGTTCAAGTTCAAAACTTTTTTGTGTTTTTAGTTGTTTTAATCACAGGATCTTGCAGGCCATAACAGTATCTTATTGTAAAGAGTTTAATCAAGGCTCATTCTGAAAACATACCACTATATGCATTTCTGGAGAGCGCAAAATACATCCCAGGAGCTACGTATTTTTTGCAGTTTTTCTTTCGCCAGCACCATTCGTGCCTGCTCTTCTCACGTAAATCCACCAGAGGCCGCTGTTGGCTGACTGACTGGCTAATCCCCCAACCACTACCTTTCCTAAACCCAACCGATAGCGTTTTAAAGAGCACCAGCGCCCACCCACTTCACTGAACCCAACTGACAGTGTTTTCAAAAGCAATACAGAAGCCGGACTCGAACCCCGTCGTCTATGTCAATTCCTCTCTGCGTCTCAGATACTTCGACATATGCCGCAAGCTACTGGACAAACTGGTTACATCGAAGAAGTTGTCTTTAGGGAGGGTTGCGGTCAGCTGGTAAGCGCAAAAAGAAACGATGTCATACTGCCCCATATCGTTCATTTTAAAGATGAAATGCAGCCATGCGTTCTACATAATTTGCGCTCTCCAGAAATGTATATATTAGTACATTTTCAGGATGAGCCTATGTTGAAAGCATAGTGTTAAACCATATTATCTAGAACAATATAATTTCCAAATCATTATTTTACTGCCTTTTTTCAATGGTTGCTTTTTTAAATTTTTTAATAATATTTTTATAACAATATCTTCCAGGCCATAGCAATACAGTAATTTTGTCGGAAAAATTGTTATATAGCTGAAAATCATGATTGGTTTTCTTGTTGTCTGAATTGGTCAGTTAAGTAATATGATCTTATTGTGAAGGCATAATAGCCTATTGGTTAGCGCGCTGACATCTGGTGCAGTAGCGCCCCGAGTTCGAATCCTGGCTGGCTCAAGGATATTTCCCGTTCCTACCCTTTCTCTCTCTCTCGCACTTCGCTTCCCGTCTAAAATACTGTCCTTTCCACTAATACAGGCAAAAAAGCAAAAAAAAAAAAAATCTTAAAAAAAAAAAAAAAAAAAAAAAAAAAAAAATATATATATATATATATATATATATATTGCTCAGTCCATCCCTCCACACTCATAATTGGAACACGTGCTCTCACACAGCCCTTGTGTGCCCCTGCAGGAATGTTTTGGTTTGCAGGGAGAGAGTGTGCGTGCGTGTGTGTGTGTGTGTGTGTCTGGGTGCGTTTCCTCCCATATTATGATGATAAACATGCGAAAGTGTTTCAGATGCCAACCGGATGGAGCGCTGCCAGTTTGACCCCCCTCCTTCTCCTCTGAAGCGCTCATTTGTTCTCTTTCTCTCCTGAAGTATTTTCTAAACTCTAATCTCTCTTGTTTGTTTTCGCTGCTCAGCATGAATGTGACCAATAATATTTTTGTGAAACCCACGGAGGAGATGGTCTTGATGGATGAATGGCTGAGTCATTAGGCCCAAGGCATTAGGTAATCAGGGACGCTATGGACGAGGAGGATGTTTTTATATTGAGGCAGAGATGTTGAGCTCATAACCACTTGAAAAGGAATGTAGGAGAGAATGCGGGTGTGCAGCAAGTTTCACAAATTGTTATATTACATTGGATTATCTTATATTAAGTGCTGTCAAACAATTGATCACATCCAAGATTAAAGTTTTAATTTATATTATTTATGCGTGCATGCTTGTGTACAGTGGGGTATAAATGATATCGGGCTTGACTGTATATTTAATGTATGTGAATATTCAATATAGGCTGCACAACGGCTCAGTAGTTAGCACTGTCGCCTCTCATCAAGAAGGTCGCTGGTTCGAGTCCTGACTGGGCCAGTAGGCATTTTTGTGTGGAGTTTGCATGTTCTCACCGTGTTCCCGTGGGTTTCCCCCGGGTGATCAGGTTTCCCCAACAGTCCAAAGACATGCGATATAGGTAAATTGGATGAACTTAATTGTGTGTATGAGTGCATGTGTGAATGTGAGATTGAATAGGTGTTTCCCATTACTGGGTTGTGACTGGAAAGGCATCTGCTGTGTAAAACATTTTACATTCACTTTCGTCAATTGTTGATTTTTGTTCCTCACCACTGGCTTGCTTGTTTTGGGACTTGTGAAGTTGCGCATTGATGGATTTGCTCTTCAGTGTTTGTAATTCCAGCAGAGAAATTTAAGCCGAAGAAAAATGAATAGTTAATTAATGAAATATATATATTTATTTATTTATTTATTTATTTATTTATTTGTGTTATACAATATAGTCGTGCATATATAAATATTATGAACAAATATATTTTGTAAATATTAACTTTTATTTTGGATGTGATTAATTGCAATTAATCAGCACTTATTATACTTTATGGATAAACAGCAATTATTATATTACATGGTTTACATGTTGTTATTCTTCTGTTGTTGTCTGTTTGAAGTCCAGGCTTCAAAAATGTAACAGTGGACCTTACCACTAAAATGGAAATGAGAGAAAATAGGGTTCTTATAAATAATAACAAATGCATTTAATGAGAGGAATTAAATATAAATATTCCACTGGATGAATGGGAGGAAACATGTACAAAAGCCCAATCATTAACATTTACTAGTAATCTTATATAAATACAGTGCAACTGGATTATGAGAACATACATCACTCCAGTCAGGTTAAATAAAATTAACCAAAGTATCCTAGACACATGCATTAAATGCTCAGTTGAAAAAGGTACACTTTTACACTGGATGTGGGATTGCCCGAAGGTACAGGAATTTTGGAAAGGTGGCTTTGTTCATTTTTGAAATGATATCCGTAAAACTGCCCATGAAACCGGAAATGTTTATTTTGGGAATGACTTGTGAAAACATTGACTGCCACAGCAGTACTCGTAAACTTATCGATATATTTATACTTCAAGAAAAGGAAAGGAAAGAAAAGGCCATCTATTGTACAGTGGATCAATAATATGTCCTTCTGTTTAACTATGGAAAAGATTACATACATGTTAAAAGGCAAACTTACTGTTTTTGAGAAAATGTGGACACCCCTTATATATCTTATTTCATATTCAAATTTCAGCAATTTTTTAAATTGAAACAGGAAAACACAAAATAAACTGACATTGACTTACTGTAACCTATCTACATATGCCCCGTTTCCAAAGAAGCCATTGTCAAATTGATGATCTGGGGCATGGCTTCTATAGATGATTTGTATTTTCAATGATTTCTTCCAAAAAAACTTTCTAAAATATAATATAATAATCTGTTACTAATTTAAACAACCTGTGCCCCCCCCCTTCCTTTTTTCATTCCTTTTTTTTATCCCTTTTTTGCTTTAGTTTTTCCCCCATTATTTTAGTTTTTCCCTTTAAATTGAAAACAAAGATGTAAATATGATTGTGATGTTATACTGTCATTTTTTTATTACATCTCAATAAAAATATTGGTAACAAAACAAAAAATGGATTTAAAATGTTTCTCTGGATTCAATGGATTTATTAGGTATGGGTTTGAATAAAATGTAATATTTGTTTTATTTTATTAAGGTATGATAACATTATAATTAATTAATATAATTAAAATAAGCCTGTTTTTATTAAGTGTTTACTTTTTTATTTGGAAAGAATCATCAATATTTTACAGAATAAAACAAAAGTACACACAACTATAAATCATTAATCCAGAGAAATCAAGAGTTTTCAAGCAGTGTTTATCATTTTTGGTATTTTTATATTAAATTTCCTTTCTGAATAAAAATATCAAAAAAGGCCACACCCTTTTGCCAACCTAGTAAATTTAACAAACATAACATAAAAAAATCTACAGAGCTAACTGTAGGTTTCTGATGAGAAATAAAGCTGTGTGGTGTTTGGTTTATTCTTTGGCAAAGTATGCAGTATGATACAATATTTGGCACCTAAATGAACGCTGGAACGTGTTGATGATCGCTTTAGTAAATTGCTGATCCTAAGGTTTTGCATCCAGTTGCCCCGAGGTGACCTGTAACAGTGTGTCATTGTATTGTGAATTGTGTTTTTTTGGCCTCTGCAGGTGCACGGTAAATGCTCATGCCGGCATCACACGGCTGGAGATCACTGTGAACGCTGCCATCGCCTTTACAATGACAGACCATGGAGAGCAGCTGACGGCTTAACAGGAGAAGCAAATCAGTGTGTTGGTAAGTTTCAGTTCATATGTGAAACTACAGTAAGTGTTGACTTGCAGTGAATGACATTCACGGTTGAGTATGTTTTGACTGTTTTTGATTGGTTGCATGTTTGGAAAGAGTTTACCAAGTGTGGTCCCACTTTATATTAAGTGGCCTTAACTAATATGTACTTACACAGGAATTAATAGTTTGTTACAATGTACTTATTGTGTAAAAACATGTATTTGCTATGTACTTATGCTTGATTAAATACATGTATGTAATTACATCTGTAATTAACCTTTGTAAATACATTTGTAAATACACAGTTGACCATCCCTTACACCTTAAACTACCCTTAAACATACCCATGCCACCAAACCTGTCCATAACCCAACCTCTATCTCAACTCAAAAGCACCATAAGTGTTCTCAAATACATTATAAACACAGTAAGTACATTGTATTTATTTTGTGATGTCAGTACATAGTAGTTAAGGACACTTAATAAAAAGTGGGACCCCAAGTGTTATCTTTTGATATTGTGGTTCTGACATTACTATTCACTTTGGAATTAGTATATTTTTTATTAATGTTTTTGAAAGAAGTCTCTTCAGCTCCCTACAATTTAAACAATCCATTTTCTATATGATGATGATTATATTATTAATGATAGTAAATTTAAAATGTTTTTGATACTGTGGTTCTGACATTACCTTTCACTTTAGAATTGGTAAACAGTTTTATTAATATTTTTGAAAGAAGTCTCTTCAGCTCCCTACAGTTTAAACTATGCATTTTCATTATGATGATAATAATATCAATAATAAATTTTAAAAAGTAGTTTAGGTGTTATTTTTTGATATTGTGGTTCTGACATTACCATTCACTATGGAATTGTTCCATTTGTTTATTAATGTTTTTGAACGAAGTCTCTTCTGCTCCCTACAATTTACACTATCAATTTATTTATAATAATAATAATCATAAATAATAATATTTTTAAAATGTAACTTGTTCATGTAATTAAGAAAAAAAATCATTCTGACCCCCAAAATGAATTGTTTAGATTGTAAATACGACATATTTTTTCCTAGATTCTTTGACGCATAGGTTAACAGTATCAGAATGTAATTAAAATCCAAATTTTGTATAATTATAAATGTACAGTATTTAGTATAATTTTGGAACTATATAATGGATCCTTGCTTGTAAATGAAAAAGAAAATGTGTTTTTTTTTTTAATATAAATTTATGGCAGGGTTGCCAGGTCTGTTAAAGGTCATAAACCTTAAAATAATATAAACTAGTGCTGTCAAAGGATTAATCACATCCATAATAAAAGTTTACATTTACTAAATAAATGTGTGCATACTGTGTATATTTTTGTGTATATTAATATATGCATGACTATTTTGTATAAAATATTTGTTAATATACAGTTGAAGTCAGAATTATTAGCCCTCCTTTGAATTTATTTTTCTATTTTAAATATTTCCCAAAGGATGTCTAACAGAGGAAGGAAATTTTCACAGTATGTCTGATAATGTTTTTTATTCTGCAGAAAGTCTTATTTGTTTTATTTTGGCTACAATAAAAGCAGTTTTTAAATTTTTTAAACACCATTTTAAGGTCAAAATTATTAGCCCCTTTAAGCTATATTTTTTTTCGATAGTCTACAGAACAAATCGTTGTACAATAACTTGCCTAATTACCCTAACCTGCCTAGTTAACCTAATTAACCCAGTTAAGCCTTTAAATGTCACTTTAAGCTGTATAGAAGTGTCTTGAAAAAATCCTGTAAAATATTATTTACTGTCATCATGGCAAAGATAAAATGAATCAGTTATTAGAGATGAGTTAATAAAAATATTATGTTTAGAAATGTGTTGAAAAAAATCTTTTCTCCATTAAACGGAAATTGGGGAAAAAATAAACGGGGGCTAATAATTCAAAGCGGCTAATAATTGAACTCACCTGTAAATATTTATATATAATAAAAACTATATATAATATAGATATATATGTACACATATATGTTTCTTTTGTACATTTTGTATTTTATGTATATTAAATGTGTGTATTTATTTATATATATATATATATATATATATATATATATATATATATATATATATATATATATATATATATATAAAATGTACACACACACACACACAAACCATATTTTCTGTGATTTGTGAGTTGATTATGTGTCTTATGTCTAAACGAATATTTGTGTCTGTGTGTAGAGTGTAAGTGTAATGGCCATGCGGAGAGCTGTCACTTTGATGAAAGCGTATGGCTGCGGTCGGGTCAGCAGCACGGTGGCGTTTGTGACTGTCTTCACAACACCACCGGCCAACACTGCCAACACTGTCAGAGCGGCTTCTACAGAGATCCGGAGAAACCCTCCACCGCCCCAGATTCCTGCACACGTAAGACACTATCAGCCATTTACAGATGTTGTGAAAACACATTTATATCAAATGGAGACATTTAAAGGTCCTCTCAAGTGCCTTAAAACATGCAGCGTGGTTTTTTGTGTTGAAACAATTTCAGCTGAATCTGAAAAATGAGGCGGGGCATATTCAGTAGCTCCTCCCATTAAAAAAAAAAGCCACTATCGTTTTGTTTACATCAGAGCTCAGCCAGAGCCTTACTAATGCCATGTTTGGCTGCTTATGAAAACCAAAGTAAGTGTTTAACCATTTCTCCCCCTAATCTCCCCCACATCGTGTTAAAACTTCGCATTCAGTTTCAAATTAAAATTAAGTTGTGTGAATACTTTTAATATTTTTTACATCTTTTTTTCCCCAGAAAGCTATAAGAACTATAACGTGGTTCACCTTTCGCAGCCTCGCAGTTTTGTAAATTTTATTCATATTTTTTTTGTGCAATTTGACATGCTTTTTTTTTTTTTTACAGTGTATTGTGTTCTGCATCCTAAGTAGTGCATTGTGTTGTGTGTCCTGAATGGCTTTAGACCACTGTCAATCTATCTCCTTTGTGCTGTGTCTGCTGTACAGTACAGAATGCGTTCAGCTTGCCAAAATTACATAAATCTTCGAGTTCTGGCAGTGGGAGTCTGAAGTGCTGTACTCTATTTTTGCAAGTTTAATTTCAAGTAAATTCTGTACACCAAAAATAAATGGATATATTTTCACAAAAATATTAAGCAACAGAAGTTGTACATTTTTATTGAATTGAATTAAAAATTGTATATAATATAATATAATATATTATAATATAATATAATATAATATAATATAATATAATATAATATAATATAATATAATATAATGTTAAGTAATATAATAAAATTTAATATAATATAATATATGATGTAATGTAATTTAATATAAGATAAAATAATAGCTGCGCAGTGGGTAGCATGTTTACCTCACAGCAAGAAGGTCGCTGGTTCGAGCCTCGGCTGGGTCAGTTGGCGTTTCTGTGTGGAGTTTGCATGTTCTCCCCGTGTTGGCGTGGGTTTCCTCCGGGTACTCTGGTTTCCCCCACAGTCCAAAGACATGCGATACAGGTGAATTGGGTAAGCTAAATTGTCCATAGTGTATGTGCCTTGGATATTTGGATATCCAAATATATGTATGGATATTTCCCAGAGATGGGTTGCAGCTGGAAGTGCATGTGATGTGTAAAACATATTCTAGATAAGATGGCGGTTCATTCCGCTATGGCGACCACAGATTAATAAAGGGACTAAGCCAAAAAGAAAATGAGTAATATATTATAATATAATAGTACTTAATTCTCCTTTGTGTTGTGTATCTTGGCATTAATATCATCATAATTAATAACCTGTATTTTATTATTAATGTTATTTATTTATTTGTAATTAATTTTTGTTTTTATGCTATACATTGTTGTTGTGACAATTAATAAAAGAAAAATAAACATAATAGTAAATAATGTTAATAGTAATATTAATATAATAATTGAGGACTAAATCTGTATATCAGACCGATTTCTGAAGAATTGTGACACGAATAAAACTGATTTTCAAATACATTATGATAGAAAAAGTCATGTATGCATCTTTAAAAACTTAAGAAAAGCCTTGTTGAGCTTAAAGTTTCAAAAACATTAAAGAAAGGTCAATATTTTAAACATTTGACCAGGAGTATGTATTTGTGCTTTGGACTCAGATGAAAGCCATTAATCTCAGATTTGAAAAAGCTGCTTAAAATGGCGTGTGTGTGTGTGAGTATTTGTGATTTGCATGTCTGTCTTCATCGTAGTCATGAAGGAGTGTTTGAGTGTCTGTTTACGTGTACAGCTTGGCCTAGATGATGTCAAAATTCAGGAACTCGCAAGATCAGCGAACATGTCCGATATTGTAGCATGTACACATTGAGGGGATCTTTGGCATTGAATGTTGTTGCTGCTCGGAATGCTAATGGCTCTTACTGCAAGTCAGGACATGCGGAAAAACAAGAACATTGATGGGATCTCGGCCGTGTGTGTGTGTGTGTGTGTGTGTGCACATGTTGAGTGTAAATGCTAATGTTGTGTACGTGGAGGCAGACAGATTAATCATCAGATGACACCAGTCTCATAATAATTGACTGCGTCAGTCTGGTCTGGAGTGATCCAAGTTTTCATTCTTATGTTGTGAGTCATTTAGAAATTCATTACATTGAGGCAAAACAGTTTAAAGTCCCTCTGAAAGCAAAATGAACTTTTGTTTTGAGAGAGTGTGTGTTAAATTGATTAAGGCATGTTATTTACTTAAATAGATATGTCTTGAGGTCATCTATAAGCTAGTGTGCTCTAAAACAAAGACAAAATTTACATTTAGAAGAGATGCAGAGTTGGGCTGGGCGATTAATAGAAAAGTTATCGAGGCTGTAGTCGACCTAATTTTTCCAGGATGGTTTATTCAATTGCTTTCCCTACCAAGTGGTCATGTGACCCCGCTCTGTTAAAGGCTGAGGCGGATTTATGTTTCTGCAGCCACTTTGCGGACACGTGATCTTTGGTTGTGTAGGACAAAGGACTTGAGCCTTACTTTGCACTACACAGACGATGATTGGAAGCTGCGCCAGAGATGCCTTGAGATGGCATATTGTCCATTGTATTAAAATGATTTACGTTCAAATATTTGTTTACAGAAGATGCAAGAAATGCACTGTTTAAAATTTTATTCACAGGATCTACAAGAGGTCATTTATTTAGAAGAGATTGTGTCAGACAATGAATTTAGACCACATCTGGCTACTTGGCTACACAATTGGCTATTTCCATAAAGCAACCTGGTTGGCTAACGCTCCCGTTGATACTTGAAACATGCAGTGCACTATATAGGGGATAAAAGATTCAGAAAATGTAAATATGCTTTCCATTGCCGTGAATTTGGTCATGTCGCCAACTGCTGCAGCAGTGGACACACACGCTCTGCTCTGGTAAAGAGATGCAACACTACGCACATTTTACAATAAGATATTCAAAAAGCACTAGAACAATGAAATATATTCTGCTGTCTTATTCATTTTAAAGAGAAATAAGCAATTTTATAGCAACTCAGACTGTGTTCTGTGTGTTCATGCAATTGATGTTACACACCCTCAATCTCCAGTTTGGTTATTGATAACCAGAAAACACCAAAGTTTCTTTAATATGTTGTGTTTTTTTATCAAAATGCTATAAATGCAACATTATAATAGAACTCAAAGTATCTGGAAGACTAAAACAGCCCTTTTGCTTCTCCCTGTGATCACATGTGGAATCACACGTGAAAGACCCAAGTGATGGACTATGCCATAATAAAAGCTCCGCTGCTTTCTTGGCAAAAAAAATAAATAAATAAAAAATTGGTGACAGGACACTACTCGCAAGGTTTGGGACTTTTCTGTGCTGTGTTGTGCGTCAGTGAATTTGCAATCCATTCAGTGTGTTACAGTTTGGTATATGTCTGCTTTTATTGGTCTATTCTCCCGTTGTCCACCATCAGTGTTTCGCACATCTGAGGTTGGAGAGTGGGACAGGTAAGAATGTCGCGCGACATACATTGTTCACACGTAGGCTTTGAATATCAGTTTTGTTAGACACACTAGGTAAGAGGCGTGCTCCACCCATCCCGCTGTATTGTTGTTTTTCTCTTATCTTAATGTAGGTAAGGTAGTGCGTCAGTGTCGTGAAGATTTTCCTTTCGCCGGCAGTGTCTTATCTCTCCAACTCTCCCTTCTACCTGTTTAAAAATTTTGTGTCACCTTTGTTGTCTGTGATTTTCAATATATTTTTGTAAATATTTATTGCTCTTTATACATTTTGGACTTATTATCACTATTTGTAAATTAAAACTCACTTTATTGCATTTAGTTAGTTGTGGTATTTTGTCCTTCACTTGTTGATATTGTGTGTTTTACCCAAAATGAATGTTAATCTTCTTCCCCTTGACTGACCATCTTTAAGATTGTAACAGTCCCATAGAATGTAATGAAGACCACAACTCCCATGATTGCACACTCAGTCACGGTGCCACTCTTTTGTTTGTTGTAAATACAAGCCAACTAGCGGTGAAAATTAAATACTGTGCCTTTTAAAGCAGTTAGACAGAATTAGTATTACTATTACAGTCTGTGACTGTCATGAGCCTGATGCACTTTAGCTCAGTGACTCCGGCCAGCAGAACTTTGATGTACAGTAACAATACATTATTGGCTATTTTCTTTTAAAGAAGGAGGTGTTACTCAATATGTCTCACGCTGTCTTCACATTTTGATTGAAATTACTTCACACACTGAACAGTGCTGCTCATTTTAAGGAATTTGAGGGGATCTTTATATTTACATTTTTTCAGTGCCTCTGGAAACTGTAGTACCTGCTTGTAATATGGATAATTTTCTGCAGTCTGAGGTGTGTAACTTTTTTTTCTTTTCCTGATTTGCAGCTTGTATGTGTAACCATGTCGGTTCCTCATATTGTAAACCTGATAACGGAGAGTGTGTCTGTAAGCCAGGGGTGGCTGGGAGGCACTGTGAGCAGTGCATGCTGGGATACTGGGGTTTGGATGAGTACGGTTGCAAGCCATGTCAGTGTGCTGGGGATTGTGACCCTTACACCGGAGACTGTATGATTAGGTGAATATTAACCTCTTTGCTGATTGTTTCATCATTTTTGAGGGCAGTGCAGTCACTTCCATTGTATGCACGAGTGTATGAGGAATTTCAGATTGAATCCATTCCACAATTTCAGTTGTTGTTATTGTTGAACTTATCTATGAACAGTAATGCTTTATAATAATTTAAATAAAACAGAAACTTTAGAGGGAAAATATATTTATACTTTCTATGTATGTAAATCACTTTTTTGTCATTTGCATTAAAAAAACAATGTAATTTCCAGAAAAGTCTGTACATTTTTTTAAATTCATTAAAATTAAAAAATTAGCAATTTGCTGATTTTTCTTTAACTTTTATTTAATCGTCAGAAGTACAAAGACAAAAATTCCAGTGTTTTCACAGAGCAAGTTAATTGTAAATTAGTTATGATGCAGCTGATGAGCATCTTAAGTTTTGTATTAAAGCAGAAATAGCTTCAAAAATAGCTTTGAACAGTTCATATTGTCAATAACCAGATGATGAAGCTTTGTATTAAAAGGAAAGTTACTGTGAAACGGTGTTAAAGATGCCTCTGTCCCAACTTATTTGGAGTGTGTTGCAGGCATCAAAGTCATCAAATTTGTTTATAATTCCAGAATACAATTAAGTTTCTCACTGACACTTAAAATCTTTTCTTTGTACAATTATGCAATTAAATAAACTTAAAAAAAATCAGCAAAGCGTATTCTTGATTGGGTTATATTTTAAATTTTATCAGCTTTTCTGGGATTCAGGCTGTACATTTAATTGACTCAAATTCAGTGTACATTTTATTTAAATAATTAAAAGAAATGTATTCAATACTATTAAATACATTTAGTCATTTAAAGTTAAATAAGTAACTAATTATACTAATCTGATACTTACTGTATAGTAAGTCCTACAGTTGCAATCAGAATTATTAGCCAACCTGTTTATTTTTTCCCCAATTTCTGTTTATTTACAGAGAGAACATTTTTTAACACAGTTCTAAGCATAATAGTTTTAATAACTCATTTCTAATAACTGATTTATTTTATCTTTGTCATGATGACAGTAAATAATGTTTTACTAGATATTTTTTAAGACACTTCTATACAGCTTAAAGGCTTAACTAGGTTAATTAAGTTAACTAGGCAGGTTAGGGTAATTAGGCAAATTATTGTATAATGATGGTTTGTTCTGTCGACTATTGGAAAAAAATATGTTGCTTAAAGGGGCTAATAATTTTGACCTTAAAACGGCTTTAAAAAAAATTAAAAACTGCTTTTATTCTAGCCAAAATAAAACAAATTAGCCTTTCTCCAGAAGAAAAAATATTATCAGACATACTGTGAAAGTTTTCTTGCTCTGTTAAACATAATTTGGGAAATATTAAAAAAAAATAAAAATTAAAAGGGAGTTTAATAATTCTGATTACAATTTAATAATTTATTCATTTCGATTGCGTTAAAAAATCAAAGTCAGAATAAGATGTCAGTCCTTTAAAAGTGAGAAATAGTTTTGTCTGATCTTTATCTTAAATGATATATAATATATAATGTATGTATATAATACATAAATACACATTTGTTCATACCATTATTGTGTCTACATATAGCCTAAAGTAAAGTAAAATTGGATGCATAGATTTTATAGTTTTACCTACAGCAACCTCTGAAATGGCTAATCACAGGTGATTGTACAGTAGGTCAGAATATACTAGCCCATACATCCCTCAAAACACTGAACACTTAATTATGTTTTCTTAATAAATGATAAACATGTATACAATAATAAATAAATACATAAATTTGATTAGCTGAAGCATGTATTACATATTACATACATATAACTAACATTACCGAAAATGTCAAACACCACCACTATAAATTCAAGATTATATATATATATATATATATATATGTACAGACATAAAGTTGAAGTCAGAATTATTAGCCCCCCTTTGATTTTATTTTTTAAATATTTCCCCAATGATGTTTAATAGAGCAAGGAAATTTTCACAGCATGTCTGAAAATATTTTTTCTTCTGGAGAAAGTCTTATTTGCTTTATTTCGGCTTAAATAAAAGCAGTTTTTAATTTTTTTAAACACCATTTTAAGGACAAAATTATTAGCCCCTTTAAGCTATATTATTTTCGCAGAACAGTCTACAGAACAAACCATCGTTATACAGTAACTTGCCTAATTACCCTAAACTGCTTAGTTAACCTAATCAACCAAGTTAAGCTTTTAAATGTCACTTTAAGCTGTATAGAAGTGTCTTGAAAAATATCCAGTAAAATATTATTTACTGTCATCATGGCAAAGATAAAAGAAATCAGTTATTAGAAATGAGTAATTAAAACTATTATGTTTAGAAATGTGTTGAAAAAAATAAACAGGGGGGCTAATAATTCTGACTTCAACTGAACATAAAACCATGCTGTGTGTTTGTGTGTGGTTGTTGTCTAGGTCTGAGTCAGATGACAACAGCACAGCAGAAAATCATCTGTTTCGGACAGAAGAGCTGTTCTCCGCCCTCAGTCATCCAGGTATTCAGCAAAATCTTAAAGCTGATAAAACACCACAGTCTTGTTCCCCCATGAAAAGTTTATTGTTTGTCTGGGCTGAAGTCATGTGCTCTTGTAAAGTCATGCCTGTTTCTAAGTTTGTCGTAGCAACAGAATGAAAACGGCAGCCAGTTCTTTAATTGCTGCGTTTTTCCTTTTCTTGACAGACAAATGCATTTGCAAACAGCTAGCTCTCGGGAACAGCAAAGTCTTCTGCAATGCCAAATATGCTTATGGTAAGTTCAGTGCTGGAAAACACAAATTAAGCACTTGAGTAAAAGCACAGATATCCTAGTAAAATATTATGCCAGTAAAAGTTTTAAGTCTTCCTCCTCAATTTTACTGAAGTCAAACTATTAAAGTAGGTGATTTTTGTTTTGTTTTGATCTGCATAAGTATTTTTTTCCTTTTATATTTATTGACATAGTCAAAAAAGTAAAAATGTCATATAGTCACTAATTAACATAACTAACAATATGACATACATACAAACATAGTGCTTTAACATTGTTCAAGTTCATTTATTTATAGAGCTCATTTAAAAACAGTCACAAGACTGACCAAAGTGCTGTACATAAGACAAAGTACAATTAAAAAGACTGAATATAAAAACATAAAAATAAGACAAGAGAAATGACTGAAAAAAATAAAAAAGGTAGCAGTAGTAAGGACTATTAAAATAATATTAAAAAGCCAAGCTAAAGAGGTACGTTTTTAGGAGTGATTTAAAAAGAGATAGAGATGGAGCCATTCTAATCTCAAGGGGCAAATTGATCCATAATCGAGGATCCGCCACCGAGAAAGCTCTGTCCCCTCTGAACTCTTACAACATAAAAGTGTGGACAGCCATTTCTAGTGCGGTGGGATTTAAGAAATGTTTGACTTTAGACAGCAAGCGGAGTTGATAAAAACTGAAGCCAATAACCGAACTGATGTGTTTGTCTAGTTTTAATGACTCATCAAGGATGTGTGTGTTTATATTGTGTACATATCAACAAAGACAAAACAAAGAAAATAACATCAAGCAAAACCTGACAGCATCAGCATCATTTTGTCCACTTACAATTACATTTGGCTTTGGAAGTCATTTATGAAAGGACGCCACATGACAGTGAACTTGGACCCGGGACCATTTAAATTAAGTCTTTTTTTTTTTAAACTAAAGGAATGCAACACACCATTGGCCCACTGTTAAAAGAAGGGGAAAATTATTGCTTCCATTTGCTTAAAATCAGAAATCTTGCTCAAAGAGAAGGCAATGCAGTTCAATTCACTTTTTTTGACATGTTGTTATTTTCATATACAATACATATACAATATACCAAAGATAGCAGTTAAGGGATTTGCACAAACATCTTAACAAAATATTCTGGAGCAAGACTTGACCAAAAAACATATAATCTGGGATATAACCCAAACATAAGGGCTAATTTAGCATGGGACTGTTTGCATGTTGTACAGATGGGCTCAACAGAGGAATACATCAGTGCCAGCTTGGCCGTAATTGGATAGATGAAGTCTTTGTACCACTTTAAATTGAATAAGGCTATGTCTAGCACAAATAGAGAATCTATGGATTCTATATATAGCCTTATTCCAAATGAATGCAAGTATTAAAGGTAAATGGTACTGCTTAATAGATGTTTATTTTGACAGAAAATATTACATTTTATTACCAAAACTTGTTTTACATTGACAATTATACTTAAAATTAATCATTCCTAAAGAGATGAAATTATAAATATATCATATTGCCTAGTTTACAGCAAAAATGATTAAACAAAATGTGACAGCAAAATCCGTCATATATGGGTATTTTCCTTTATCTATTGTTACTTTTTTAAGTTATTAAGTTAGATGAGACGTGAGTCATTGAGATGTGATTCAGTGAGTCTGTAATGGTGCTGGATGAAAATGAGAACAAACAACCGATGGATAAGTGAAACAATAATTGAGTATTTATTAAACAGAGCATGTCAATGAAATTAGGAATATAGAATGTAATTTTAAATAACCAAATTAAATGAAAAAACAAGAGTGTTGCCAAAAAAAAGAGAAATAAATATAACAAAGCAATCTAACTAAACCCCAACCCACTAAACTAACTCAAAATGACTAGATTTCTCGTAAAGTACACACTGTTAGCCATTAGCAAAACAAGAGCTTATCTGATAATCCAATTCTCATAAAGAGCGTTCAACTTCTCAATAAATACTAAATTGAGCTGCACACACTTATCTAATAAATAGATCACTTAATTGAGAGAGACTAAACAACAACAGCAACAAAACAATACAAACACAAATTAACAGGCTGGCCGACACAAGTGAGGAGTTTGGCGGTGAGTCGAGCGCTCCTGCTGAACAGCGGACCAGCTCCTGATTGCGTCATGATAGTGATTGACAGTTTTTTCAACTAATGGTTGCACACCTAGAACAGGACAGAAAACACAACGCAAGAAAGAAGAGAACGCAAAACAGAAAACAACAAAACATAAGTGAAACGTAACACTACTCATTTATTCATTTTCCTTTGGTTTAGTCCCTTTCTTCATCAGGGCTCGCCACAGCGGAATGAACCGCCTACTTATCCAGCATCTATTTTACAGATGCCCTTCTAGCTGCAACCCAGTACTGGGAAACATCCATACACACTCATTCACACGCACACACACACACAGACACTACAGCCAATTTAGTTTATTCAATTCACAAATACCATATGTCTTTGGACTGTGGGGAAAGCCAAAAGGAATCAAGCACCCAGAGAAAACTCACGCCAACACGGGGAGAACATGCAATCTCCACACAGAAATGCCAACTGATCCTGCCGGGACTCGAACCAGCGACCTTCTTTCTGTGAGGCGTCGCCCCAAATATATCTTTTAGTTACAAATATTAAAACAAAATATTTTACAAATATATTTTCCCCAATTCATTAAAATACACTTATAAGAAAATGTTTTAAGAATATCACAAGAACAAAAGCAGTTTGATCTTTCAATTCACACATTATTTCATTCATTCATTTTCTTGTCGGCTTAGTCCCTTTATAAATCTGGGGTCGCCACAGTGGAACGAACCGCCAACTTATCCAGCAAGTTTTTACGCAGCGGATGCCCTTCCAGCCGTAACCCATCTCTGTGAAACATCCACACACACACTACGGACAATTTAGCCTACCCAATTCACCTGTACCGCATGTCTTTGGACTGTGGGGGAAACCGGAGCACCCGGAGGAAACCCACGCGAAGGCAGGGAGAACATGGAAACTCCACACAGACATGCCAAATGAGCCGAGGTGCACCCGGAGGAAACCCACGCAAAGGCAGGGAGAACTTGCAAACTCCACACAGACATGCCAACTGAGCCGAGGTTTGAACCAGCGACCTTCTTGCTGTGAGGCGACAGCACTACCTACTGGGCCACTGCCTCGCCCTCACACATTATTTGTTCAGTACAATTTATGAACCAATTTATTTGAATTTCAAAAATTAATTTATAATAATCACGATCTCAACATATATTTTTACTTCATTTTAAAGAAGAACAATATTTTGTTTAGCAATGTAATGAAGTAAATGTTTTCCAAAATAAACGCACACTTTCCTAATCGCTCCATGTTTCTTGGAAACATTGTGCTTCATTCAGGTGAGTGGGCTTGACAGACCACCTGTAGAATCACTCTTCTCTCTTATGCACCTGACTCTTTATCTAAACTCCGTCTCACAAGAACTCAATAAGGAAAACGATGTCTACTATAAATGTGCCACAATCTTAGTGCACTGCTTGCTTCTACTATAAATAACTCTTGCACTATATTAAACCTTAAATACCTCTTTTGCAACATTGTTCAGTCACATGTAAAAGGACTTGTGTAGCTTGTCTTATATGTATAGTTAAGCATCTTGTATGTTAGTAATGCATAGATTTATTAAAATAGCTCTTATGTCCTGTGTTTGTATTTATGATTAATTTATGTAGCACCATGGTCCAGCTACACATTTCATTCCTCTGTATGTCCACACATTTAATGGAATGACAATAAAGCTTGACTTGACTTGACATAAAATACAGTACACAATGAAGTAAAAATACTTGGTTATTGTTCAATAGGGAAGTTGCATGTAAAACATTTGCTGTGCACCAACTTCACCTCAGTGTTGAGTTCATGTACTAAAAGTGTGTGCGCGTGTTTGCGTATGTGTTTGTAGCAGTGAAAGTGCGAGTGTTGGGTGCTCATGATAAAGGCTCTCATGCAGAGGTGGATGTGAAGATCCTAAAGGTATTGTGGGACAACACTCGCCTCAGACTCTCTCGAGGAAGCCGGACACTTTATCCCGAGTCCTGGATGTCTCGAGGCTGCACCTGCCCCGTGCTCTTTCCAGGTTAACACACACACACATACACACACACACACACATACACATAAATGGTTTTGATATTAAATGTTCAAGCCCATGTGGAATCTGCATGTATTTTTCTCATGAGATTCTGTGGAATGGATTTAACTCTGGTCAGATGTGTTAAATGGACAACAGTGATTGAGATTATCAAATGAAGCGCAAATTCTGTGGTAATCTGACATTTTATTTCTCAGAATTCTGCAAAATCACAGATTCTATGGAAGCAGATAGTTAATATGAATGAATGTAAGGATGTAATCTGATAACAGTAGTTTTTGCTGAATTACTTTGTTATTCTAACTGAGTGTGGATATTCACAAAATGATGAAAACTCTTAAATGTAGAGTTTTTACAAATTGCAATAAACAACATGTACTCATTAAGGCATGACGCTATAGGCAAAAATACTGTTGTTTTTTTTGCACCTCTCTTGTGTGCGGTTTTGGGAATTTCATTTTAATTTAATATTATTTTATAATATATTCATAATAATATTTTTCCGTATAATTTAATGAATTATAGATTCATTAATTATAGCTCCCCAGCTCAGTCAATAAATAAATAAATAAATAAATAAATAAATAAATGTATAAAATAATTGAACATAACTTCATCCAATGTTAAGACCTTTCTACTAGAAATGTATGTTTATGAATGCATACAGTATAAATGAATTTAGTTAATACTGTAGTACAGTATTAATCATTTGCATATCACTGTCCCACCACTAGGACAAATAAGTTTACATCACTTTTTTTGCAATTAAATTCTAATCTTATAATGACAAACTAATGTATATAACACTTCCGAATAGATATTTTGCTGCAGTTTTTTTATGTAGGAAGAGCAATAGCACAAAGCACATTTACTGTCGCCTTACAACCTGTGGGACCATTTACGGTTATATTTTTAAATCGAAATATTGTTGTCTAAACATAAAACAATCATAACAAATTATGTATCCTTTGAAAGCCTAAAGTGTTCAGTTTCTATATCTGGTAACTGATTTGCGATATATATTAATGACCAACAGTTATTTATTAATGTGCAACAAGAATACTCCTTTCAGAGTCCTAAAGCATTACTTTGCTACAGCAATCCGCATATGAAATATTGTTTAGATATTTTCTAGAGGCTAAATTCAAATTAAAACTTCCTGTACTACTAAGTTTTACGTTTATTTTACAATCACCATCAAAAGTATTAGAAAATACAGTTCACGTTCCTCAAAACATAGGGGGCGCCCTTCTATGGTCATCAATGGAAACAGAATGTCATTTGGTGGTCATGTTTGGTACTGGGGCCAAACAAAATCTCACCAAAGGCTCTTAAAGGGTTGAAAAGGTTGAAAACCCCCCGCTTTACTGCACTGTTATTATTAACAGCTTAATAATTAAATCAAATATCTCAATAACATTCAAAAGTTAAAAAATCTAAATAATTTGTCATAAATCAAACAAATACTTTAGCCAGTCTAAATAAACTGAAATGAAAGCAAACACAGAGCAACAAATACAGATCAGCTATTTAGTGAAATAGGACCGTTGTGATTATTTTTCTTGACTTGTTTTGTTTTTCCTCTTGCTGTAGGATTGGAGTATCTTGTGGTGGGACATGAGGATGTGAGAAAAGGTCGCCCTGTTGTTAACATGAAGAGCATAGTGAAGCCATGGAGAGCCAGCTTGAGTCGGAAAGTCCATCAGCTGCTAAAAACCAAATGTAGCTGAAAGACGCAGTGAGATGTTCAAAACAAATGCACACGCCAACTTAGACTTTATTTAACTGTGATCGTTCTTCATCATCTGAATCAAACTAATGCTTTAGGTGTAAACCCAGCCGTTCTGGTGTATCTGCTAGCTGTCAGGTCCATACTAGCACTGTACAGAATCTACTGTATAATATATATGTATGTATGTGTGTATATATGAATATAAGATAATAATGTGTAGTTTTTTTTATTTCTTTAACTAACCTTGTATATAGCATGCTTTTTGTACAGAAGAAAATATAATGCATACATTCTATCGGATTGTCCTTTGGCTGCTTTTTTATAATATTGTAATATTTTTTTTTTGTCTTAAAATTGATTTAATTAAAGGGAGAGATCACCCCAAAAATTAAAATCGACATCATTTACTTATCTTTTACTTGCTCAAGTTCAAAGTGAAATTGCTCTAAAAAGATTGAAGGTTTCTTCAAAATATCTTCTTTTGTGTTTATTGGAAGAAAAGTAAATAAATTGGGAACCACTTGAGGGTGAGTAAATAGTGAGTAAAAGTTAATTTTAGGATAAACTATCTTTAATGTTTAATGTTATACCTATTGTGGCCACAAGGTGTCAGCATATGATCATATTTATGGTTATGATGAATAATATTCACAAATAGATAATTTTGTATGTATGATTTGCTGCTGAAAGATGTAGTAGGACACCCCCCAACCCCAATAAAATAAAATATAAATAAAATAAACACTTGATTAAGATTAGTGTATTAGTGTAAATCACAACATAATAGTGTAAATCAAACAATTCATGGACATTGGATTAATTAATAATTACAATCATCAAATAATACAAAAAGATAAAAAAATTTGACTATAACAAAGAGAAAGGTTAATTAAAAATATATTGAATTAAATTAAGTACATTAAAATAAATTTGCAAATAAACTGTTATGATGAGTAAAAAATAATGTAACATTCATTCATTCATTTTATTTTCAGCTTAGTCCCTTTATTAATCAGGGGTTGCCACAGCGGAATGAACCGCAAACTTATCCAGCATATGTTTTACACAGCGGCTGCCCTTCCAGCTGCAACCCATCACTGGGAAACACCCATACACTCCACACTCGTATGCTACAGACAATTTAGCTTACCCAATTCATCTATAGCACATGTCTTTGGACTGTGGGGGAAACCAGAGCACCTGGAGGAAACCCGCGTGAACATGCAAACTCCACACAGAAATGCCAACTGACCCAGCCAAGACTCGAACCAGCAAGCTTCTTGCTGTGAGGCTACCCACTGCACCGCATAATGTAACATAATAGTTAATAAATTTCAAAATAACATCAATAAAAACATATAAAAAATTCAATTACTATGGGGGTGGCTGTAATTAGACAGTTGGACTTGTAATCCAAAGGTTCGGGTTCGAATCCCGGCACCAGAAGAAATTGTAGGTGTTGGGTGAATATCCAGCTCTCACCTATACTGTATATCACCAGCTATACCACGGCTGAGGTGGTTCCCTTGAGCAAGACGCTGAATTCACATCAACTGCTCCAAGTGTGTGTTCACAGGTGTGAGTTGCTTTGATGAAAGCTTGCTTAATTCTTAAATGTAAATGTTTATATATATATATATATATATATATATATATATATATATATATATATATATATATATATATATATATATATATATATATAAAGATTAGAGATGAAACAAATCAAAGTTTTTTAAACAAACCAAGATTATTGGCCCTAGTATTTTGTCCATTGTAAATAGGAGTCTTGTTTCTGGTGTGGTGCATTCTCAATTGAAACATGCTGTAGTGCAACCTCTTTGAAAAAGGCAAATTTGGAAAAATCTGTGCTGTCCAATTTTAGACCTATTTTTAAACTACCTTTTTTCATCTAAGATTTTGGAGAACTGTTTTAACACAATTGCAAAGCTTTCTGGAGCTTAACAGTATTTATGAAGTTTTTCAATCAGGTTTTAAGGCATAGTACGCGTGATGAATGACATTTTGTTATGTAGGGACTCGGGCACTCTAATCCTTATGCTTCTCGAGTCTCATTTGTAGTACCTTTGGATTTAAGTGGCTGCAAATGAGACCACAACACACTCTTGACTATAAACTTTTCACATAATTTAAGATAATTATATACATATGTATTAAAATGTATATATCCTAACTTTTTCCTAAATCAAAGTGCACAAATCTAAAACATTTTCAATGATTAACCCTAAAGCAGGGATTTTTGGATATCAGGCAACCACAAGTGGGCGGGGCTAGCGCTTGGTCCATGAGGCCCCGCCCCACACGCCTGCATCCGCACCTCTGTCAGCCGCGCAGATTGGCGTGCCGCGATGTTGCTTTCTGTAATGAGGACGCTGATGGAATTACGGTCAAACTAACGAGGGAATAAAACATGTCCGAAGTACGAAAATTCACGAAGAGGTTAAGCAAACCTGGGACGGCAGCAGAGCTCAGACAAAGTGTGTCCGAGGCGGTGAGGACGTCCATTGCTGTGGTTAGTAACTCTCTCTCTCTCTCTCTCTCTCTCTCTCTTTCTCTCTCTCTCTCTCTCTCTCTCTCTCTCTCTAAGGCTGTGTCTCAACATGTAGTGAGATGCCTATCTAGGGGTCATTTTTGACATCACATTCGGATGTATGCTGTCTAGGAAGGCAGCTCACTAGATTTGAAAGCACTGCTCGTTTATGACCTAGTATATGAATAAAAGTCTGTCATGTATTACTTAATAATTTTCCCCCCTTTATCTAAACGGCGTTTGTAATTCTTATTAAAACACGTGCCAGACTGCTGAGGCATAACGTCTAGTGCCTTCAGGCAATTACACCAGCACAGCTTCAACATCTGTCTTACACATCGCATAGTCAGCTGTAGAAACCTCGTGCATTTAAATACTGAAATAAGCATTGGTTATGATATAAAATAAGGGTTTGCATCAAAGAAAAGCTGCCATTCAGGTGATCCTGGCTTTCCTAATAGGCAAAGACATTGTATTGTAGCCTCTTCTGGAACCACATGGAGCATCCTTATGCCTTTGTGTAAAAAAAGCATGTGCTCATGCACCAGTCCATGATTGAGCAAAGCACATGCTTTTTGTCCCTGCTGAACCACTGAAAATGAATAAGCTGGAGAGCAGAAATGTGACATTGATGTTTTTGAGAAGGATTTAGATTGAATTTAACTGGGAAAGGAGGCAATTTTCACAATTCTGAGATTTTCTATGAGTGTTATGAGTAAAAGCCTACAGCATAATGCTGTGATTGCCAGTTTGATTGTGGTTTCCAGGGTGACAGACAACAAATGGCACTCTATGGTGATTGCAGAGCCTCTGTGTTTCCCTTGAGAATAGCCCCAGGCTGCTCAGCTACGCTTCCTGTGTCCTCTGCATGTGCTAAATGAAGTATTTGTCTCATATTTCCCTTTTCTGTACCCCTTTTGCATGCTGCGTTTGCACAGATATGAACAAAATCATGACACAAGTGTGCAGCTTTATTACTGGCTCTCAGTGTTTCACTTGAAGACCCATCAAAGTTGATTAACGAGCACGGTTTTGTTTCCTGTATTGACTTTTCTCACAGGAAGCTTTGCTCGGATATATCAAAGGCCTTGCCACTTATTTATATTTTAAGAAGCCAGTATGTTTTAAGTCATACCATTGCAGCTTGCTGGTTATTAGGTGGCATTGGGGGAGGGGCGTTATAATTAAAGATGAAATATGATTGGATGACAATTTGTGTAGTGCAGGATGAGTCATCAAAATATTTTGCTTGCTTGGCATGTCCACATGCTTTTTAAAATGTGTATATTTTTTAAGAGGCTATTCACACGGCATCATTTTACTTTTAAGATAAAATTATAAAGCTTTTTTTCTGCATTTTGGCTGTTCTTTAAGGATTAGTTTTTATCAATAAATGTAAATTCTGTTATAGGCATGGGACGATAACCTGTTTCAAGGTTTACCGCGGTTTAGAAAAGTCAAGGTTTTAATACCCCTAAAATGTTCTGTTATACCGTTCCTTAGGTATATAAAGTTCTCTTTAATGTATTTTTTATGTGTTGTAAAGAAATCTGAACTAATGAGGACATCAGAAGTCAATGATTTATTTAAACTATTGAGCCTGACATGTTGTACAGTTGGCGGTTCACTTCCGTTATTTGTTACGATTGGATTCATACCAGAAGTGAACCGTACCAGAGTTTGAGTAAACCAAACCGTTCACGAGTGCTCCCCCGAGTTCTGAAAACACGTCGACACAAGCTGAACGTACCGTACTCTGATGTCAAACGAACGCAGGTCTTGACCAAAAGTGCTAGCGTGAAAGCACCCTTAAAACCACAAAGATCAGCTGGTCTGTTTATAAGCTGATAGACAAGCGATCTGCTGGTGAATTGACTGATCTTCATGGCTTTATAAACAGATCAGCTGATCTTCATTGCTTTAAAACACTCCAGTGTCTCTGTATTTGTGGTTACACTCAGTAAAGAGCGGTGAGTGTGGTGAACTGATGACCTTCACGACCAATCACAGTCATTTCTGTTGAGCACGTGAACACAATGGCAAATCAATTTTGAATTATTGGATTATTTATACAGTCACGATTTTTGCAGTGTTGTTTTACATTTGATTACTCAAGTTCTGTATCTGAATACTATTTGACTGCCCTGAAAACCATAAAACACGGTTTATTTCACTTTTATCTTAGCTTTTTTTGTATTTGCTTGTAATTTGTTTATTAAATTTTATGCACGATTCACTTCCCTACAGAATCATCCCAATCATTCTAAATGAGTAAATTCTTCCCAAATAGCAGTTTTCAAATCACACACACACACATATATATATATATATATATATATATATATATATATATATATATATATATATATATATATATATATATATATAGTATATATGTCAGATCGTGCAGCTCTACTCAGCTCATAGACAGCGACGGTTGGTCACAAGTTTTTCAAAGACAAAGTCCAAAAAAGGAGCCAAAAGCATTTCAGGTGACTTCAGTGGTTAAACTGTAATCACACAAAAGCTCCAAAAACACTTGTGTGCCACAAAAAAAAGGAAAAACTTCTTTGACCAGCGTTTTATCTTCCTTATTAGGTGATCAGGATGCATGTTAACTACTGACATCTGTACAAAATATAATCAGGGTAAAGAAAGAAAATTAGCCGTAAACTAATTAAAAATAGTCTTCTGTTGATGCAAAGTCAGGTTGACACGGTGTCACAGTGGTTAGCACTGTCACTTCACAACTAGAAGGTTGCGTGTTTGGATCCTGTTGGCATTTTTGTGTGCATGTTCTCCCTGTGTTCGCTTGGGTTTCGATTCGGTACAGGTGAACTGAATAATCTAAATTGGCCGTAGTGTATGGGTGTTTCCCAGTACTGGGTTGCAGCTGGAAGGGCATCCGCTGTGTAAAACAAATGCTGGATAAGTTGGCTGTTGATTCCGCTGTGGCAACTCCTGATGAATAAAGTGATTTAAGTCAAAGGAAAATGAATGAATGAATGTTGCAGAGTGTTGTTTTATTAAACTAGAGCTGTGCTCACTGCATTAACTCATTAACTCAACGTACAATCAATACATTAATCACTTAAACAAAAATTGCCAACAGTTATTAAAATGCCATTCAAATATGACCCAATTTAATATGTTATGTAATATTATAATGTAATGTTAATGTTAGGGTCAAACTATGAACTTAACACAAACTATCTATAGACGAATCAAAAATTTCTTTGCACATTATTTTATTATATCCAAAAAATGCTTTTGTGAATGTGTGTTTAAATGGGAATTTTAAATTCAGCATTTTGGGGGCCTAAAATTGAAATGTTTGAAAGCTAGTTTTGATGTGCAATTTAATGGAAATTATCCGTCTATCGTTGCTGTGCAAACATCCAAAACACCAATTTGTAAAATAATAATAATAATTCCTTACATTTAAATAGTACTTTTCTAGACGCTGAAAGCACTTTCCACAATGCAGGGGGATCCCCTCATCCACCACCAGTGTGCAGCATCCACCTGGATGATCTGACGGCAGCCTTATTGCGCCAGACCTCACACCACACACCAGCTGATTGGTGGAGAGGAGACAGAGTGATGAAGCCAATTATGACATGGGGAGGATTAGGCCAGTGAGACATTTGGCCTGGATACTGGGGTTAAATCCCTTTCGAATTTTTAAAATCCCACAGAGAGTCAGGACCTCGGTTTAACGTCCCATCCGAACAACAGCGCTCACTGAGCAGTATAGAGTGCCTATCAATATACTGGGGCATTAGGACCCACACAGACCACAGGTTGAGCGCTCCCTGTTGGCCTCACTAACACCTCTTCCAGCAGCAACCTAGCTTTCCCATGTGGTCTCCCATCCAGGTACTGACCGGGCACAGCCCTGCTTGGCTTCAGTTGGCGGCCATGTGAGAGTTGCAGAGAGCTGGATGCCAGCTAAAAAAAAAAAAAAAAATAGTGACATTATGCACAGTTTTGTTACAGTTTATAGGCAAACGCAAAATACCTGAAAACCAAAACAACAATGGTTAAACACAGGACACGTGTGAAGATGTGAAGAGGTTCTTTGTGAAGAGTTTTAACTACTGGCCTGGCCCCTTGTGTGAAGGGGATCATTTTGAAAGTATTGCCGCCTGTATGCAAAGCTTTCCAGAAGCACAGTCATAAACTTGTAGTGTAAACCCACACTCGAGTGAATTTTAGGATTGTTTTGGAGTACACTGGTGTGCTGCTGGGATGTCTGTTTTTTTAGGTCAGTCATTAAGTTTTCATCGCACTGGTAGCCTCGACAAAAGTTCTTTTGAGGGTAATTGCAGACAATCAGCCAAAAAAAGTGTATGATTCTTACACTCAGTTTTTTCTTGTGCACCTTAACATACAGTCCTGTAATCTGCCACTGTTGTTAGTTATTAGGTACTTGCACATGCTTATAGACCAAACACAACAAACACTATACATGTGCATTTACCCTTTACACAAAATTAATGATAGTGAAAATAATGGTGTGACTTTCAAAAACTTGAACTTTAAAACCTAATTTTTTAGAGTTACAATAGTTTGCAAGAGTGAGAATAAACACAACTACGCTGTGTGTTTTCTCACACAATGGAATGATGTTTAATGTCTCTGACAACCTCTTAACCATTTACTAGCAGCTTTTTCAAGACAAGTTAGAAAGTTTGTAAGTGTTACAGATGTTTTATATGTTGTAGAAGGACCCTACACTAGGGCTGGGTGATATGGCAAAAATGCCGATAGTTAATTTCTGTACTGAACAAATTTATTGCTGTTGGTGACTTTTAATTGTTAGAATATTTTTTATAACTATAGAACAGTGGTATTTATAAAATGGTGTAAACCTGATCTGTTTTTTTTTTTTTTTGCCATGACATAAACAAAGAAGCTGAAATGGCAACAAACCCAAAATTCTTTTTTTCTCTATACTGAACAATATCGATATATATTTC